TATATATATATATATAAGTTAGTATACTTTAGTCCTAATTTCCAAACAAAGTAGGCTCTTAACCAACATTTGAAGACCAAAATCCCAATTCAAAATTTAGAAATCCATACTATTAAGTGTTGATACCTAAACTTAAAAATAGATTATATATTCTAATATAATTAGTTTTTAAATTTAAATATCAATATTTAATAAGATAAATTTTTAAAATTTAAATTGAGTTTTAACTAAATAAAACGATATACTTTAAGGATGAGATTCCAATTTGTTTTAGAAATCAAGATTGAAATGCACTTTTTCCATATATATAAAAGTAGAGATCCACTTACATACAAATCTTATACACCACAATTGCTTAAAATCTCAACCATTCATCTCTCCTTTTTTAATGGTTAAGATTTATTCACATTTATTAAATATAATTATTTTTTTATCTAAAAACTTATGATAAATTTTAACTATTGAAAGTGGAAAGATAAATTGTTGAGATTTTATATAAGTGTAGTGTGTAAAACTTATGTATAAGTGAATCCTTACTCTATATATCAATGTGGAGAGATTAATAATTGGGATTTTGTATAAATGTGGTATGTATATAAAGTAGAGATCCACTTACATATAAGTCTTATACATGACACTTATACAAAATCTCAATTATTCATCTCTTCCTTTTCAATAGTTGAGATTTATTCATTTTTCATTATATTTATTAAAGATAATTATCTTTTTTTACCTAAAAAGTTGTGATAAATCCCAATCATTGAAAATGAAGAAATAAATTGTCAAGATTCTGTATAAAAATTATGTATAAATGGATATTTGGGTGATATTATTGCCACATCATTAATTACTAATGCCACACCTTTTCATTTTAATTGACCATTATACCCTTTAATTTATTAAAAAACAAAAAAAATATATAAATTTTTTAGAAAAAATATAATATAAGGATATAATAAATAATCACATTAAAAAAGCGTGGCATTAACTATTAAGGATGCGACAATAACCCAATATTGGATCTTTCCTCGTGTATATGTGTGTGTGTAAGTTTGATGTTTATTAACCAAGTCTCTAAAAAATTAAGGGGACAAACTCCTCAAAACTACATAAGTTCATTTAAATAACGTAAGAAAAAGTCAAAACAAACTCAATTATGGTATAAAAATAAATTATTTTAGTTTTTTTCAATGAAAGTTTATTAAAACAACATAATTTTGAAGTGTGTTTCCTCTTAATTTTTTAAAAGCATAGTTATGTTTTCTAAATTTTAAGAGAAAAATACTTGAAAATCATATTTTTTTTCAATAAAACAGCAAAAAAAAAAAAAAAAAAAA